TAAAATAAATAAAGGTATCTGTACAAGTTCCTCACCTCATCATATTTAGCTGTGGGGGGTAAACTGGAGATATTGATCTTGAAACTCACTCTGCCTGTAACTGTGTGACTGAAAGCCCCCAGACCACCAATAAAACTCTTAACTCACAACCCCCCCGCTCAGCTGCTCACAGGCCGACAGGACTCGTCCTGAGGAGCCGGAGCTTAAACAAGATGAAGATCAGCCGAGAGGTCAGAGGACACTGACACTGTGGTGACCCTCTCCAATCCAGAGACAGGATTAATACCAGTAATGGTTCCTGTGTTTGAGCACTTCCTGTCAGACCTGAATTAGAGACCCTCTTATTGATCCACCTCCAGTGTCTGTGTACGACGACAGAGTGACCAAGAAAATAAATACAACGGATAGAAGAGAACAGAAACGTTCATAATCCCTCAATAGATCAAGAATTAAATACACAATTTATTTTAATACATTAAATATGAGACAGATTATGATTTGTGAATATGGGCCATACAAATGAAATTTGAATAATTGATTGATGAATATGTAATTACAGGTGGACGTAAACAAATTAATAGATGAATTCAGAAAATATGTATGAAAACATCTGTGTTTATTTTTACTTACACACACACACACACACACACACACACACACACACGTTGAAACATCAATACTTGATGTAATGTTTTGGTCTCATGACGCTGTGTACACAATGACTCAGCTGGAAATACGTCTATGGGTGAGTTTAGTGATGTCACCTCAGTTACTCACTTAGTCGATTGTAAGACTGACGGACGAGACCCAGAGAAACCAAACCACAATGATTCAAACATCAAACTTGTTCTGGACTTATATGGTTTTATTTTCCCTTTGTCGATCCTCCCATCGATAACATACAACACACGGAACACAGGCATCATGTCAACATGTCAATCAACATGTCAATCAACGCTGCTAATAACAATTAAAAAGCTAGTGCCAAACGTTTCTTTAAAAAATCTAACTGCTGACACGTCGGTCCTGCACACGCACAAACATTGTTAGTAAAACGATCCCGTCCCCGGTGACGCAACACGATCGTAAAATCACACGGAACTGATTCAGACCTGCAGTGATTGTTTTGGATTGTGAAACACAGATTTCTTCACATCTCAAACTTCTAAACTCCTTTGAATATTTCCAGAGACGTGCTCGCTCATGTTTGAATGTGTCGATGAGCCGTCACATTTTTACTATAAAAGACATCAGCCTCTTTAAAATCAGCGTGGGAGAATCAAAGCTCTTCTCAGATGTAGTTTGACTCCAGTTAAAAAAACAGATTTTATTACAGCAGTTTAAAAGAAACTCCCCTGGTCGTGTCTTCACTCTCAACACGTCATGTTCCTGCTGCGGACGTGATAATGAAGCAGCGTTTGTTTCCACACACAGTGTGTCAGTGTGTCAGTGTGTGGTCGGGAGGCCTGGGATCAGTTCGGGCACGAATAATCAACCGCAACATGACGGAAATTATCTCTGAGGAAGATTAGCTCATAGAACAACCAGCAGCTAAACAGCATGAAGAAGATAAAAAGATAAACGTATCAGACCAAGACACTGGAGTCCTGTTTCCCCCTGATACAGAAACGTTCCTCAGTTAGAGTGTGAGATATTTAATCTTGTTCTACAGCCACAGACTCGGATTGGCTGGAGGCTTCTGTTTGGGCAACGCTCCGAGCACAAACGTGTAAATCCAGAGATTCCTCCTGAAACGGCTGTGACGCGCTCAGTGTCTGTTACATGAAGAACTGAGCCAGCAGGTTGGCCAAACCCAGCAGGATCAGGAAGCTGTGGAACAGGGCTGACGGCCAGCGGAGCGCGCCCTGTCGCTTCAGAGAGATCATGTGGACCAACGCAGGGAAGACGAACACCAGAGCCAGGCCGCATGTGGCTCCAGAAAACCTGCAGGGGGAGACAGAGAGTTGAGATGAGATGAAACCTGGAGACAGAGGGTGAAATGTCTGCGATGAAGAATGAAAACGTCCTTCAACAACAAACAAGAAAAAACTGCTCAGTCACACAAAACAAGAACTTTCACTCGGACTGAAAACGTTTAAAGGTTTAAAGGTGAAATCCTCAGCTGGAATTGAACCTGTGTGTAAAAGGAGACGTGACACTCATCTTCATGTTGATTAGTTAGTTAAATGTTTTCATGCTCTAATGTTCAGAGTCTCTGTCCTCACACTGTCTTCTCTGTCCTCTCTCTGTCCTCACACTGTCCTCTCTGTCCTCACTCTGTCCTCACACTGTCCTCTCTCTGTCCTCTCTGTCCTCACTCTGTCCACTCTGTCCTCACACTGTCCTCACTCTGTCCTCACACTGTCCTCTCTGTCCTCACTCTGTCCTCTCTGTCCTCACTCTGTCCTCTCTGTCCTCACTCTGTCCTCACAGTGTCCTCTCTGTCCTCACTCTGTCCTCTCTCTGTCCTCACTCTGTCCTCTCTGTCCTCTCTCTGTCCTCACTCTGTCCTCACTCTGTCCTCACTCTGTCCTCTCTGTCCTCTCTCTGTCCTCACACTGTCCATCGCTGCAGCTCCTCTCTCCCCCCCCTCCTGATGAAGCCCGGTCTGCTCTGATTGGTCGGCCTCTGCTCTGTTGTTTGAAATGTTTTGATTTGTTTTGTCTGAGCTGAACGCAGCTTTGTTAGGGAGCGTGTGCTAATGTGCTAATGTGCTAATGTGGGACATTGGTTGGATCGGTCGACTGACGGAGCGGCTCCCTTTAACTTCGGTCTTTTTAAAAACCTTTAGAGACACATTAGATAAAAGACCTTTTTAGGAAACGTGGCTAAAAGACACGGTTAAGTTGCATCATGGGAAACGTAGGACCCAGCGTTACAAAGAGCAGCAGTCGTCCAGGTTTCATGAACAGACACAACCTCCCTGGATTCATTGGGTCTGAGAATAAGGATGTCTTATCAAACACCAAACATGGAAACAGTCTGAAACTCACCGGATGATGGAGCCGATGTTGGGATAAAACTTGGCCATGAGGACGCCAGCTGCAACGATCAAGATGTTCAGAACCAGAACGTGGAAGAAACTGAAGAGAGACGAAGAGAAAACATGAATCAGAACCACAAACTGCAGCTTTATACTTTCCAGATATTTAGATTTATTCAGATGTGAGTTATTTGTGTTTTTAAAAGTCCAGAAGAAATCAGTCTTTCCTCATTTAGAGAATTATTCCCATTCAAAAACACACGAACCCCTCTTCACCATCACATCAGTTATATTTGATCATCATCTGATGTTTCTGTTATGAACGATGAGTCATGTTACCTGGGGTAATGGTTCCCAAAGATCTGACCCATCAGCTGGACCCGCACCAGGTATCCCAGCAGGGGGTAGACAGTGATCATCTGGAAGAGCAGGAAGCTCCGAGCCACGAACACCATGACGTCGCTGCTGGGGTAGTTATCTAAGAAGTTCTGCAGGACAGAGGCGGAGGAGGAGCTTCACACGTTTGAATCCGTCTCTGGTTTTTATGTTTGTTGTTTTCGTTCTCTGAACAAACTGAATTTTAAAAGTTTCTAATGTTTTAAATGTGACCTGTGGAGTCCAGCTTCACGCAGCCATGTTCTAATGGACGTGACGAGTAAAGCTGAATGATGTGGATCATCTTTGTTCTTCATGTTAGAATAAAAAATGATTTCTATCATTAGCGCTGAACAAAGTGTGATGGAGTGTCATCAGCCATGGTTGTTCCATGGTGGACAGAGAGGACAGACGTGTGGTCTTACTGCTTCGATGCAGTCTTTGGAGAGAGGAGGTGAAGGAAAGGCGGCAAAGATCAACACGCCCACGTAGAGGTAGGTCAGCCCGACCAGAAGATACGCCACGGACAGGTCCCGCACCTGCACACAGCAAAACACCTTCAGGACACTGACGTCACGGGGGCGGAGCTTCGTATGAAGACATCCGCAAGAACAATACACAGA